TAGGCTATATCAAACTTATGTTTCAAATCAAGGGGATTTGACCCTTGTATTTGTCCTGTATTTTATTATTTTTGTCTTGTAATATACTTGTATAATAAGTAAATTTTGAGTAAGGCCGGGGCTTCAATCTCTGGCTCTATCACTATACGTGTATAAGCTTCCAAAATAGCGTATTTGCTTTAACTGCACCCATTGGTAGATGAAGCCTATCTATAACCAAACTCAATATTTTCAACAAGATTTTTTGTTGTGGTATACTCAGACGAGCAAAACTTTCTTTAATCATTTAGTTATACTCTTCATTATAAGGGGAGTTTATGTTTATTCTAATTTGTTGGAAATTGAAATACTGCAAAAGAAAATAGCGAACTTTTGTCTAAACTTTATCTAAAGTCATTTAAGGGAGCTACTATGGACAAGCGATGGCTTAAAGCAAATATTAGCGGCTCAAAAGTCGCTTAAAGTTTGTTTTCATCAAACTAAATAAATGGGGAACCAAATATTGGTACTACTTTAATAATCAATTGTGATAAACAATTTCTTTTTGCATCGCTCTCTAGGCTAGTATATGTACGATCCAATCCGATTAATACCAAGTATTTGTTGGTGCTATTATTAATATTTTCTAAGTAATGTGATAAAAACTAGAGACCTGATACGTGTCCTCGTGAAATACCCTTTGCCTCTTCATTGTTAGGACCACAGACCAAAAAAATTGGGAAAAAAGAGAGACAGCCAATCAATACTGTGACAAGTCAATCTCATACGTTTTCTGATGTGAGAGTTCTTAGATTTAAAATTTCGACATTTTCCCGTTGTTGTTAGAATAAAATATAAAAGCGTCTAGAATTATCATCCGATTTTGTTTTGATCATATCTTGCTCTTAAGTATTATAATGCGGTAATGATGAGCTTTGGCCATGTCATAAGTCTTCATTGTTAACGAGATGATACATCAACAAGTAATATCTCGTCCTTTATCTTAAATAATTGTATAATTACTTTTTATCATTGTTAATGCATAAAATTCAAACCAATTAGAGAAATGAAGAAGTGAGAAATGTATGGCAAGGTTGTAAGATGGGGACACGTAGGCTGTGTGCATAAAGGGATTGTACGTACAATTTTCACAAGAAGTCGGGCGCCTACTATGGTGACGGTATATATTTTTAGTCGTGGAAAGGTAATATACATTCATGTGAATTGGGAAACCCCTACATAATTAATAAATATAGAAATCATGTGTCTCCTCCTCTTTCCACCTTTATCTGCCCTGACATATATAGCCTCTATCTCTATTTAGATTTAGGTCAAATATTATTTTATGGATCCACTTATAGATTTNTCCCAAAAAAAATAAAAATTAATCCCTCTCCCTAGCTCCCCCTTGCTTGTGTCCCCTTCTCACTTCAGGGGTGAATTTAAAATTTTGTACTATCAATCTGTAAAATTATAACTATTTTATCCTTGATAATATTATTGTAGTTAGTGGAGACGGACCTATGTTGTAAAAAGAGGAGATACCGGTATCTGAAAAGTTCCGCAAAATTTACACACACACATATATATATTAGTAGTGATACCCTATATATAAAGAAGATTTTGATTGAATACAAAAGTACACCATCGGCCTTTAAATTTGGGATCCGCCTCTGATAATTAACCGTACTAAAGTTTGTTTTTATATTTATCTATTTTAAATACACCAATATTCGTTGTGGATAAATAATTGCATCCTCCGCAGCATGCATGCACGCGCCCGCATGTATGTGCATGTGTGTGTAGATATTGATTCCAACTATTTCTCCAAGAATTTAATTTTGACGCCTCGAACTAAACTTTTTTAGAGGAATTAAAGTTGTATAGAGGCTGTTTATGAGTAATTTCCTGAAGAGATTGATAAATATACATGAATACGTTCTCGTAGTCAAGATGATGTTATAGAATTAACCGAGTAGATATAAAAGAACAGAGTTTATTCTATATACTACTGAGAAGACATAACCTAATACTAATGTATTAATCACATTGAAACTGACCAACACAAACTTAGGCTAATGTCTTCAGGTTTTGGTGTCGTACGTGGAAGCATAATTTCTAAATTATGAAATTGAGTAAAGACTGCTGATTATGAAGAATAGTACAATTAGTATTACTTAATTAAGGGACACATAATCTCTCCAATACTCAAATTGGTTACCACTTGTCCAGATTATTATAGAGTAGGTTTAAAATATTTAGTTTAAGGGACGATTACATCCTAATTACGTCTTACTCTAACTAAGAAAAAACAGGCTCAATGTGAGGTTTAAATTATTATTTACGACTTGTGTCCTGCAAATTGGAACAGAACCTCTAGTAATTTCAACAATTCAAGATATATTCTCAAGAGATCAGGATCTTGAAAGAAGATCAACTATAAATATGTTGAAATCGGACATACCAAAATAGGCAACTACTTGTCAGAATTTAGAGTAGGTTTGGTAGTTAAATAACAAATTCTTACATACGAATACTCGAATCAGTTACTACATGTCCAAACCTTAGTGTTTGCTTGTTCATCTGCCAAAAATATGTTGTCTACGTTCTAAATTAATATTGACCAGCAAACGTATGCAATTAGGTGGATTCTATCAACAAATAGAAATGTGTTGTTTTTTTTCCTGTGGCGAGCTGTTCAATTTCTCCAACAAACCCTTCAATAACTAATCCTGAATCTTCTGATCTTCTTCTTCTTCATTATTATAGTTATTTGATCATTATTTTTAAATTGGGAATATTGGCTTTGTTAGCTAGCTATTTCTGGACACGAGACCAAAAGTGCTTGTGGATGGCACTTTTTTGTTACTATTTTAAGAAATCTAAGCTTATTATACTTTTTAAGTAGTAGTATATGTGTATGGTGTAGCAAGAGAGTGACAGTATCAGCCATGCACATAATATTTTACTCAATAACCATGCAATATACGTAGAGCATATAAGTGTCTCCCCTTTCGTTCGTCTTTATCTGCCTGCGTTACATCCCTCTATATTAATTTAAACTAAACATTAGTATTATATTGTATTGATAAACTAATTAGACCAAAACATTATTTTACGGATCCACTAAGATTTGATCTCATAGAAGAGCTTTGACATGTATAAGAGTAATTTTCTTCGATTTTTTTTGAATATTATAAAGGATATTTCTAAGTAATTTCCTTACGAACTGAAAATATGTAGGAATATATCATTGTAGTTCAGGTCAATCACGTATAGGATTAACCAAGTGGATACGGAAGAATGGAGTTTATTCTTTACACTGACGAAAACTTAACCTAATAACCTACTAATGCTTTATTAATCACGTTACAATAGGCACAATCTTAGGCTAATGTCGCAGATTTTGGTGTCATGAAGGCATTTCCCGATTATAAAACTAAGTCTAGAATGCTGATTTAGCAAATAAGTACAATTAGTAATACTTAATTAGGGAAGCCATAATCTCTCACATAATCAAATCTGTAACTACTTGTCCAGATTATAGAGTAGGTTGAATAATTAATTTAACGAACACTTACATATTATGGTATTAATACTTGTAACTGTAACAACCTGTCCAAAAGTTAGTGTTTGCTCGTTCACGGTGGTCAGAAATATATGTTGTCTACGCTCTAAATTAAAATTGACCAGCAAACATATCCATTTTAGGCCGATTTTACGATCAAATGGAAATGTGTTGTTTTTTTCTTTTCTGTGGGAAGTATTCAATTTCTCCAACAAATCCTTGAATATAATGTTAACTATAAGCTTCTCTTGTTGATTTTTTTTGGTGCATACATAATGCATTGCTTAAGAAATTGGTAGCAGGTTTTCCAGCTATTTTCAGATACGAGACAAAAGAAACGCTTGTGGATAGCACTTTTTGTCCTTAATTTTAGAAATATAGGCTTATTATTTAAGCAATATGTGTATGGTGTACCAATTAGAGTGCCAGCATTATTTTAAGAAGAGCCATATACATAATAATTTACTCACTAACCACATAATCCATGCAGAGCACATAATTGGCGAATAATACTATATTCGAATATTCGGAACTTTGAATTAATTAAAAATTTGTTAAAGGACAACTGGCATTCATGAAAACCCGAGATCTTTCCAAGAAATAGGGCCCTCTAAGTGCTTTTACCTGTTCTTACCATTTTATTTATTGGGTATACGTGGAGTTCTTCAGAGAATGGTTGACATTTCTGGAATCGGACGAATTACATTTCAAGAGACTATCAGAAAAATAATAAATATAAAATGATAAGTAGGATTTTCACCGAAAGAGCCAATAGTTTGATGACACTCAATGATTGGTAATCCATAATAATTCATTTCAGGGCGAGCTTTCAGTGCAAGAAACATGAGCCACAAATAGTGTCTGGTCTCAGATACGTAGAGCACGAAGGACAAAACTGGGAACATTTAATACTGTCACAAGCATAAGTTCTAGTTGGCCACGGTTAATGTGACAAATAGTTTTTGTTAAATCTTCGTATAAATGCCAAGTATAAGGGATTTGACTGTAAGTCTGCAACAGAATTGTTCAATTTCTGAAGTGGATGAATTTTGGAGGAAAACCAAAAAAGTTGGATTTAGATTAGTTTCTTCGTGAAAGATAAGGCAAAAGACAAGAATGTAGCAGTCGTTCGTAAAAAAAACATCTGCATAAGCTAATAATAGATGCATGGTTTCAAGTTTAAATTGCTTTGCTGTTATAATAGAATTGCAATGCTTTGAGTTCAAACCACAATGATTTCCTGACCATTGTCTTCTCAGTTAAAACCTTCCCTATTCCCTTTTTCACTGTATAAAAATTGCGTAGAGAAAATCCAGTTGCTATGCCCCAACGATTGCATGTAGAAGAGATATCGGAAACTATTAAGAGTGATATATTAGAAAACTAGATAGCCTCTGGCTTAGAGTTTATAAGAATCAAGTGCAAAAACAGTGACTCCACACGATTGCATGGATAGGTGATAATGCAGTCTGTTTCAATCACGAAGCTGTTTGAACAACATTTTCCGGACTCAGAAATCCTACTTGAATAAATAAAAACAATAAACGGGTAACATTCCTTGTGTTGCAACAGCTTCTGATGAAAGAATTAATGACAATGCACTTCGGCAGTGTTACCTATTCAGTGTACACCAATAAATGAATCATTCTTTATGAAAATTCACTGCTTAAAGGATTTTAAGTTGAACTGAGCCACTTGAGGCCCAAAGAATGCAAGTATGCTAATAAACAAAGTCAATATACTGACATTGATTAATACTTGAGGTATAATTTGTCACAAGAATGCCCAGTGCAATTAATCAATTTGATGGAGTGGAAGCGATTAGTCAGACCATCTCGCTATGTCTGCTATGAATGACAAGAATGCTGAATTCCATCAAATAACTGGTGAGTTGGAGGAGATCAATCCAAGTATCTCGTTATGTAACCTATGATTTGTCACGAGAAAACCACCAGAAGGAAATATAGTTCTCCGTGCAATTTGATCTGCAGCAAAATCAATTGAACTTCCTTCCCAGTCAGTCACCTGAAAAGATTTTGCACATAATGAATAACTAGGAAAAACAGCAAGTCGGACCCGTTTATTTTACAAAATAAAGAATTCTGCAAAACAGGATTCATGTTAATTGATGTATAGTCCCACACGTCCCCTCAAGTTGAAGGACAAAGGATATAGTTAAAGCCTTAACAAGGAGAAGAATCAAGCAAAGAATCAAAGGGCACAAAATTCTCCCTTGCTTTACATCCTATTGTGCCAAATAAACAAGCAGTGGCGGACCCAGGATTTTATACAAGCGGGTTCAGTCAAAGAGCATAGTAGCCATTTGTATAAACGGCACCGGTAAATAAAATTTGCTCACTAAGTTTCGTTCATCATGTGACCTCAAAATAAAGTCATTGGCACTCATTTTTTAATCAAATGTGAGAATTTTTTTTAAAGGAAAACTATCTACTTTTAAGTTTTGTAATTTTATCTATATATATAAACAAATTTTACTTCAACAAATTTATTAATCTTAACAAAAAAATTAACCAACTTAAAAATCTTATAACTCTAAGAAATTTAACATAATAAGTATTTACAAAAAAAGTAAAAAAGGGAATTATGAACTAAACTAATTGATATAAACTTTTAAAGTAAAAGAATAAACACTAAACTAAAATTTTCAGTATAACACACATAAATGATTCCAACATATATGAACTAAACTACATTAAAAAAAATTACAAATAATCTCAACAAAGCATTCTCATGTTTTAGCAGAAACTATGAAAGAGAGAACCAAAATTCACTTAATGGAAAGAGTTTTTTTAAAAAAAGTAAAATAGAGTTTAATAAGAATAACTATTGTGAATATAAGCAAAGAAAAGAAATCAAAAGGAGAAATAAGAAAAGAAGATATAACAGAAAATAGCAAGGTAATAATAGGTGATGGAAAAAAAGGTAAGAGGTACAATAGTTATATATAACTGGAACATAAAAATGCAATGTGGAAAAAGTTTAAGTACGACGATTCAGCGGAGGATCGACCTTGTGACCTCCACCCAAATTATGAACCCTCTTAGCCACTGCTCTGCAGCTTCCATTTGTGTTAAGTGGGTTCATATCTTATAATATTATCTTCTTTTATGATTTTCTGATGAAGCTAACAACTGAAAATAATTATTTTTTTTAACGAAGCGGGTTCAACTGAACCCCCTTGGTATAAGGTGGGTCCGCCCCTGTAAACAAGGCTGCGAGCAGGCTACATCTGAAAGTTGTACACGCTATGGGGAAGTATCAATACTAGTGCATGGAGGGTCATGTAAGGATCGATATGATAGAAGAGCTACAGTATTTTATTTCATGCATTTGTTGCCTCTGATTAACAAAAGAGAGTTTGTATCAGGTAGCACATAGTCATTATCATATCTAAGAAGAAGAATCCTAATAAGATCACACAGAAATATGAAGACCGTTCCTTTTGTGTGATCTGCTAGCAGTTCACAGATATCTTGTCATTCATGCTTCTTTTTAGCTTAATAAATGTCTTTTGTGTCTATCAGAGATGGAATTTATCATCTAAGAAGGACTAAGGATATATGCCACTCAATTATTCTTCAAACTCTGTTTTCTTTTAAGGCAAACTGCAGGAATTATGCTTTATGGTATGATAAATTTCACCTCCCAACCATTTCTCAAATTTCAAATATATCCATTAGATCTTGATCATGAACCTGCATTAGACAGTAGCCAAAAGAAAAAGAAGATGACGCCTACATCTTGAGATATGCACAAGGTAGTTGTCATCCTAGTATATTTATGTAGGTTTACCAAATATTACACCAGCTGTTCTGTTTTTCTCCCAAGAACTGGTTATAAATGGAAATTAGCAGCCGGCAACTTAAGACGAATGCATATGCAGAAAGGAATACCAACAGAGAGATGCATCGACCACAGAAAGGAATAGTAATAGAGAGATGCATACCTTTCCCCCAGCTTCATGAACACATATGATTCCGACAGCATGGTCCCAAGCAGGGGCATAGCCAGAGATTTTCTACAGTGGAGAGTCATATGTTCATATCAGAATGTTGAACACCCAAAAGAAAGCATACGCTAATTCAATGATCTAGTGGAATCAATATAATGGTTGAGTAAATCCATTAAACTTAAAGTAACCAATAAAGGAAGAGAGAAACAACTTTATGAGAAAAATTCAAATGTCCATGAAGTTATTTTCGTTTAATTTTGTTCTCCGCCAATAATTGCAGTATATTGTTGTTGAATGTGACAGGGCAAATGCATTTTTATCCATCTGTATTTCTAATAAAAAGTATATACGAAAATAAATTGCTTGTTATGCAGTTGTAATGGGAACCTCAAAAGGTTCGTTTCTCCCGATAACTTTAGACAAGGGACTATAAACCAAACAAGTATGTCTTTCTCGTAATCTCAAGAAACCACGAAATATCCTATTTTCCTTGTGTTCTAAATGTATAGCATTACCCATGCAACTTCGCTAACTAATTCTCTTGTTACAACACCAACCCAAGCTAGCTAGGGTCGGCCATATGAATCCTCAGTTTCCATGTTGTTCCATATGACCAGTCTCAATCCAATATTCAGAAAATTAGTTTCTCTAGTACCAGAAGTATTTTTTTTCCTACTAGCGTACAAATCATTAAAAGACTACTAATATTGGACCTAAAGTAAATATACAATTTAATTTTATTGTTTATAGAAAATTAACCAGGGTGAAATCTGTGCTAGCCCAGAATGCACATCATAAAACATATTGATTAACCACAGAGCCTTTGAGGTTGCTGTTATTTGACCCCACTCAAACTATAAGTGGCTCCACTTATGGGTCCCAAGCCTACATTTTTAGTGACATGAGGCATAAACTCACTTGACTGCAGTTATCTACATACAATCTGTGAGATTAAAAAATCACCTTCATAACTTTTCTGGTTGTTGCACGAAGAAGAAAAACTGATGCTCTACCAGAAGCCACCATCATATATTTGCACAAACTGCAGAGCAGAAAGAAATTGCATTAAGGAATGTGCAAAAACCATCAAAGAAATGTGAGAAAGTAACTACTTTCTATCCCTAAAAAGAGAGTCAGAAGAAAATGTAATAAATTTACAATTCAACTATTCATCCTATAAGGGAGTCTAAGTTAGAGCATCACTAGAAGAACATACAGAATACAACCGTTGTGATTCTGTCCTGAGGTAACGTAAAATAGGCTCCCTCAATCTCTAATGGATGTGATTCATGAGCCTCTGTCGAAAATAAATTAAATGTTGGTAACTCAGTAGCCAACCAAAATTCCAAATACACCTAATACCAAAATATTGCTAAGAAACAAGTTTCCTTCAGAGAAAGAGGGTGGTGGTATTCGCTGGTGCTCTGACAAGACTAATCAAACAGATTAACGACAAGTATAATCGTCAAATATTGATCATTTCAGATGGATGTCAACAGCAGAATTAGCGTGTCTTCACAGAGGTCAAGCAACTGAGGATTATAAGCTTTTGCAAAAATTAACAAGAATCAGAGGCTATTCGATATAACTAACTTGAAGACAACTTATGTAACCAATGTCCTGCTAAATTATTTCATGTATGGACTTTGAAGAAAAGCAAACACCAAAATATCACACTGTTCAGTAAGAAATTGTCAAAAGCCTGTAGACTGCCACCCGCAGAACATTACTCTACGTAAACATGAGCTTATGACATGAGGGACCATTGTACACAAAGAAACAAGTATCTAAAGGTGTAGCTACAATTTTAGCAATTTTGGTGGAGAAAGAAAGCTTAACATTACTGGCACAAATAAGAAATCCTGAAACAGAGAAACACTAAGATCAAAGGATAAAAATATGCCAGAGGTGGTGGAAAATATTCGTCCAGATGTTTCCCTTCCCAACTGTGGTTCAGACAATTTGATGATCATGAACAAACATCAACTCCTTGTACAAAGGCACCACTGTTAAGATACTCACTGTATTTGTATGCATAAGATTTGTAGTAATAGAGGTCTTATATTATGCTTAGATCATATCAGCTTAAATCCTATCAGAAATCACAAGTATGTTTCCAACATGTGAAGGATATGCCAGTCAGATGTAAAAGCAGTTTTATCACATGTTGCCCTATTTAAGTGTGCTTGTGACCCGTTTTCCAACAAAAATGCTATAAAAGGATCATTCAACTAATATTAATTTACTTCAGCTCCACATTTATCTAACATAGTTTTCTTACAAGGCTTAGTATCACAATTTTTATGTAATTGTCAACTCCTAATTCAAAATGCATCCACGAATTCGGAGGCCCATCCTGTTTGAAAACAATACATAAATGTCAACTGTAGGCAAGTGAGAATTTCTCATGACACATCTAAGCAACAATTTTTGCTAACAAAATGTTTTAACAATAATCTTTGACATGAAGACATCACCTTCCACAGCATGCAGGCACAAGAAGAATGTCCCCTTTCCCTATTTTATCAGAGTTTGTTTTCGCATTAAATGAGGATGATAGAGGCAAAGATTCCCATTTTTGACTTTCTGGAGTACAAAAACGTGCCTCCTTAAGTACTTGGCACCCATCGACATAGCATC